TTTTTGTTTTGAGAAGCTGTCACTTTATATTCAAAGAAATAATTGTGGTCGAGGCCGGGGACCTCACAATTCCACCCGGAAGTCACAAGGGAACCATGCTGGAAACCGGGTCCAGTGTCCCAACCACTCTTCTCTCAAAGGCCTGGGGTGAAAAGGAACTTCTCAAAAACAGATAAAACTTGAAGCTCAGAAAGATGGCCGAATTAAAGAAATGTCTAACTCCTCACATTCTTCAGCCTGAATTCTCTTAAGGAAGAAATGGAATACCCGATCAAAGTTCCAGACAACTACCCAATATCCAACTAAGGAACGACTAAAAGAACACATCTCGATGGCTGCTAAAGGCCGGGAAAGAAAATAAGCCTTCGGGTTATCCTCTCATCCTCACTGGCCAAAACACTGTAAAGAGCCTTTGTTGCCAAGACGGGTTTCCCACCACGCACCCAGTGGATACAACTCTAGTTTGCTCTTCACCGAGTCTCTCGTATCATCCCCACCCCGTGAGTTTCGCCCTCAATGGCTACAAGCATACCCCAGCACTTGAAGCATCGAAAACTAAGAACGGACATATACTCCCTAGCTATAAACACAGAGGTCAGGAACTAAGCAAATAGAAAAAGCTGTAGGGTTACCTTCCCATCATCACTGTCCAATCACACTGTGAAGAGCCTTTGTTGCGTAGACGGGTTTCCCACCACGCGCCCAATGGACACAACTCTAGTTTGCTCTTCACCGGGTCTCTCTTTTCGTCCAACCATTGGTGTTCCCACTGCTCCCTCGTGTTAACTATTCTTATACTAACTATAATCGACTGACGGTCCCACCACTGACGATGGCACGCACACTGCCCCCGTAGTGCCGCTGTCGATAAGGAATGAGTTGTAGGGATACCTTCTCATCATCACTGTCCAGAACACTGTAAAGAGCCTTTGTTGCCAAGACGGGCTTCCCACCACGCACCCAATGGATACAACTCTAGTTTGCTCTTCACCGGGTCTCTCGTATCATCCGACCATTGGTGTTCCTACTGCTCCCTGGTGCTAACTATTCTTACACTAACTTTAATTAACTGGCGGTCTCACCACTAACGATGGCACTCACACTGCCCCCGTAGTGCCTCACAGAAATACCTACAACATACAAGGAAAGAAAATCACGAAGTTGATATTTCAACAACACGTGTTTCTAAAAGCGAAACACTAAGGGCAGCCTCCGTGCCAGGAAAGGACAGGATATAAACGAGCGTTGATTAATTATAAACCCACTGTAGAAAACTAATAGACAGCACTACACGAATAACCCAACTTCTGCTTTTCTTGGTTTCTTCCTGTCCCTTCCGCTTCTTACGCAGGAATTCTTCTCCTCCACATCTCGGACCTGCTTCTGCAGGCACGAGCCCTTCGTACTTCAACTCTCCATCAGTCGCCTTGTTGACTCCCTTAGCATGTCTAGCATATTGAATTGTTTAGTTATTTGGATGATAGCAAGAGGGAAACGACTAGGGACCATGTCATGAACGCATCGGCGTTCCTACCTCACTCAAGAGGCAGTTCGACATGATCTCCCATTGGTATGGCTCCGCCATATCGATTGCTAGGCGTGGTTCTGCGCTCTCCCCAACTTGTCCCATGGAGCAGCGCCGAACACTTTCTCGAAAACGCCGACGGCTCCGCGATTGCTACCGCAACGCTAGGTCCTGCATGCGGAATAGCGCTATGATAGCGCACGCGAGCGTTACCAGAAAGTCTTCGGCACCCCCAGCCATAATTTCGCCACACTTCACAGAATAGAGCTGGTTGGGATCGGACAATGCTGTTTTTCTTCTTCCGTGAGATTTCCTCCCTCCCGGGGGTTGGGAGTAGAGAGGCAGGGGAGGTCGCAACCGAGACAAGCATCGGTACGCCTACTGCAGGCAGGTAATATTCCCGCCTGTTTGCTGCTTTTGTTGGGTGGACGGGGGAAATGATTGGTTTATCGCAAAATTTATGGATGCTTTTGTGTACTTCGTAGATCGATACCCTGTGTCGCCGTGTCTGTTTTTACTAGTTACTAGATCATAGTAGAAAATGGCGGAATCGAGTTCTTCCCGGGTAATGTCGGAAGAAGAAAGGGTCATAATTCGTAACCTGTTTTCACTATGCTACTCTGATGGTATTATCCCTTCCGCCCTTGCCCCGAACTTGGTAGAAACCGGGGAAGACTACGTGAAAGTCACTATTAACCCCGAAATCAACAACATTCAGGAGGAGTGGCTCCGCGATCATGTGGTTTCGGTGTTCTTCGGTGATGATTCCACTTCACTCCCAGTGAATGTGAAAAAGCGCCTGGTCCGCATATACGAAAACGGATGGGCTGAGTCAAGCGAAATCGCAGCTGCACCCAAACGCGGGTTTTTTCACAACGAGGGAAAAAACCTCGTCACGTATGTAGCGTCTGCGAAAGAGATCGCGTCGTGGATGCCTAGAATGGGCAAATCCATAGTGGAATTGGATGGGAAAAAATACTCGCTTTCATTTAAACCTTGGATGTCCGAACACGAGCTGTCGAAGTGGAGAGAGGGCTCCAGGCACCATTTTTTTTCGATTAGGTGTTTGCAAGTACCTGTGGGTTCCCTCCCTAATCTCTCAAAGGATGTTTCGGATGCTTTTGGTTCGATTTTGAAGGAAAGTTCAGCATTCAAAGATCCTTTGTCCCCTGACTGGCTGAACATTCGGTTCGACTTAGAATCTTCGGCTCGTTTGTGTTGTAAACGCTATCTTGTTGTGGATCTGGGCAGGATGGGGGTTGTCGAAATAGAGATAGTGAATGCGTCCACACCCTGGTGTCCTGTGTGTCGACGATACTTCCACTCTGAAGATGATCCTGATTGCCCTGCGAGGAACAAGAAGTCCTACGCAAATGCCACAAGGCTCGGCTCCCACCCACCTTCCCCGAAAGGGAAGGAGAAAGATAATGACGAGGGGGTTGGGGGAAGAAGAAGGGAGGAGGAAGGTAGAGAAGAAGGAGGAAGGGAGAAAGAAATGGGGAACGGGAGTGGGGGGGGGTGGGATGGGAGTTGGAGGAGAAAAGGGAAAGGGCGACTGGAGCGCAGAAGGTGGAGGAGGAGAAAAAAGGAAAGGAGAAGAAGGGCATGGAAAAAAAAGCAACGTGAACGGTACTGGGGGCATTGGGGGAAGAATAGATGAAAGAGTGGCGGGAGGGGATGAGGGGAGAAGTGGAGGGAAGAGCGGAAAAGAGACAGCCGAGGCTGTGGGTGGTGGGGTCAGGGAGAAAACTGATAGCGAAAAGGGAGGAGGGGGTGTGACTGGGTGGGGTGAAGACAACGACCTGACCAAGAGCGGTCCATCTATCTGAAGCAAGGGTAGGAAAAAGACAGGGTCAGGACGCTCGACTTCCGACTTCATGGAAGAAGATAAGGTACTGGTTCGGGAAAAAAGGAAAAGAAAGGAAAAGACGATGGAAGAGGAGGATGAGAATTCTTCGGAAGAAGTAGATTAAGTAAACAGCAAGGCTTTGG